TTTCCCTGACTACTGATAGGTCAATTTAAATGTTTATTTTTGACCCCGAGCTCTAGTTGTTACAGAGATATAACTTAATCCTCACAAGACCTCCGTGAGGTATGTGAATATTACTATTTTACAAAAGTGAGTAATGAAACTTAAATGACTTAAAGGACTTTAAATGATCCGCCTTAGGTTACTGTTGGTGAGTAGTAGTCTCATTAGAGCCTAAATTCCTCTGACTTAAAGTCCAAAGCTTTTTTACTTATGTTATAGTGTATGGAGTAGTTGAACTGTGACAGGTAAATCAGTCCACTACAGATCTGGAATGTTCCAGTACCTCTACAAGCAAAGATAACATTTGGACAGTTTGTTATGCATGTTGTAAAGCATACTGTATATTTTTATTTTTATGGACTCTGTTCTAGTTTGGTTTATTTCCCTTCTGTATGTAAAGTTCAAAAAGCATAGCCTCTGGGATCAACACTGAATTTGTTTCTAGCTTCACTGTTAACTAGCAGTGTAATTTTAGATGTTAAATAACTTTTCCAAACTTGAGTTTTCTTTTATGTAAATGGGGTAATATTTTCTTTCTTCATTGGGTCGTTAAATGACCCCCAAACTTAGTGGCTTAAAACAAGAAACTCTTACTACCTCATAGTTTCTGTGAGTCAGGAATTAGGGAGCAGATTAGTGGGGGTGACTGCAAGCAGCAGTCTTCTGAAAGCTCGACTGGCACTGGAGGATCTGTGTCCTCAGTGGCCGCCTCACATGGCTGCTGTTGGTCAATTCCTCACTGTGTGGGCCTTTTCCACAGGCTGTTTTGAGTGGCCTTCCAGTATGACAGCTAACCTGCCCCAGATTGTGTGAGCGAGAGAGAGCAAGGAGAAAGCCACACTGGCTTTGTGAACTATCCAAAGTTGCATACCTTTATTTCTGCTTTACTTCATTCATGAGAATTGTGCCACTAAGTCCAGCCCACGCTCAAGGGGAGGGAGCTATTACACTTTACCTTTTGAAGGGAAGAACATCAAAGAATTTGGAGACTATTTAAAAACCACCATGGGTGGACGCTGAGCCCTAAGGGCCCCTCTGCTCTCTGACCAGTGCTTTACATGTGCTCTGAGAGCCTGGTTTCATTTCTTGCTTTGGTTCCTCTGTCTTGTTTAGCTGGTAGGACAGGAACAGGCTTGCTTTCTTTTTGTCCCCCTCCCCAACATTTTTTTTTTTTTTTTTTGACTATGGTTGACATAAAATGTTACATTAGCTTCAGGTATACAACTTTGTGATTTGACAAGTTTGTGCATCATGCTATGTTCACAAGTGTGGCTACCAACTGAGGAACGTGATTTTTGATTGAGCAGTTACCATAAAGGAAAGAGAGAAGTGAAAAAACTTTTCATTGACCCAGAGGCTAAAGTGATAGTTGTTATAATCACTCCCTTAAGGATAGAGTGATGTGGCTTAATTTTCTCTCTGCTCATAATACTAGTGACACTCCCACCATCCTAAGGGTGAATAATCAGGGCTTCACTCAGTATTCTTTGCTAAGCTGAGGAGAAAGCAACAGATCTAACCATTGAAAACTCTTCCCTGTAGGTTTATTCTATGTAAATATGACCAATGAAGTGTGATGGGGTAGCTAAGTTCCTAGATAATCTCTGTGCATAGTAGCCTTTAAGGCCATGTTCACATCTATAAATAGAAGCCACTGTAGAACACCAAGGTAGATGAATGAAAAGGAGAAGTAGTGTTCTCCTAAACACCAAGGTAGGAGTGAAGACCATCCCCATCTCTCTCCTCAGGTCTTGGCCTTCTAGTCTGCATCCTTTCAGAATATTGACTTTTTTTTTCTTTTCAGATTTTTATGTAAATTCTAGTTAACATACAGTGCAATATTGATTTCAGGAGTAGAACTCCGTGATTCATCACTTATATACAACACTCAGTGCTCATAATATTCCAGTGCGTGCGTGCGTGTGTGTGTGTGTGTGTGTCTGTGTGTGTCTGTGTGTGTGTAAATATCATGTCTTCTATATCCATTCATCAATTGATGGACACTTGGGCTCTCTCCATGGTTTGGCTATTGTTGATAATGCTGCAGTAAACATCAGGGTGCATGTACCCCTTAGAACCTGTATCTTTTTATCCTTTGGGTAAATACCTGGTAGTGCAATTGCTGGACCATAGGATAGTTCTATTTTTAACTTTTTGAGGAACCTCCATACTGTGCTCCAGAGTGGCTGCACCAGTTTGCACAGAATAGTGACTTTCTTGGAGGCCATGGTGCCATAAACCAGATCGACTTTTAGCCTTCTGGGTGGTTCTAATGTGTAACCTTGAGATGAGTCCCCAAGGTAAAAGCTGATGGTACTGAATTCACAGTACTATTGGAATTAGTTAGTTAACTGGGCTAGAGTGGGTATTCTCTGTGGGGCAAAGGAAAATGGAAAAATATGTCACACATAAGCTGATTTCTAAAATTTATATCTTCACCCTAGACTACTCCTCTGGGCTTCAGACTTGATACTCAGCTGTCTACTTGACACCTTCACTTGGAGGTTAAAGACGTATCTTAAGCTTAACATGTCCTCAACTTTGAACTCCTGGTTTTTACCACAGCCATTGCTCCATTCCTAAACAAAAACAAAACAAAAGCAAGCCAACAAAAAACTACCTGGTTCTTCTGTAGTCTTATCTTAGTAACTGGCAACTCCATTCTTATAATTCTTCAAGCCAGAAACCTTTGAGTCATCCTTGACTTTCTTCCTCACATCCCACATCCATTCCATTAGCAAATACCTTAACTCAACCTATAAAATGTATCGGAATCTCTTTCACTGCTACCGCCCTCATCCAAACCACCCTCTCCTTTGCCTGGATTACTCTAATAGCTACCTTAAATAAATGGTCTTGATTCCACATAGTCATCTACATAGTAGCCAGAGGAAGCCTGTTAAACATGCAGATCATTTTATACCTATGTTTGATATTTACCAGTGGCTTCCCAGCTGACTCAGAGTAAATGCCAAAGTCCTTTCAGTGGCCTGCAAAGTCCTATTCAATCTGGGCTCCGTTCACTCTGATTTCATCTCCTGCCATCTTTGCCTTGCTTACTGTGTTTCAGCCAAACTCCTCCATGCCGTTCCTTGTACATAACAAGTGCACCTGTGCCTCAAGGCTTTTTGTCTTTTATTTGGAGTGTTCTTCCCACAGATACAGGAGTGTGCTCCTCCCTTAGTGTTCTTCATGACTGTGCTAAAATGCACCTCAGTAGATAGACCTTCCCCCACTAGTCATTGATGTATCTGGCATGTGGTGGGTGCTCAACAAATCTTTGTCGGATGAATGAAATACAACTAGAAGCGAAATGTGGTAGTCCTGCTTGCTGTGTCTCCCCATGATGGTGTTTTACTTAGTGTATTGCCATGGAGCTTGCTCCTTGGAGGACTTAAGATGTTCTTCACTCTTTACTGACTGAAGAAAGCTCTGAGAAAGGGGGAGCAGGGGGAGCAGTAGGTCTGAGCAGTAACCAAGTGGCTTTGGGAGAAATCTGGTGACATGGCAGTAAGATGGAGCCAGCCTGGCCCACTCCCTTCTGCAGTGAGGAAGTCTACCTGGAAAAACAAAAAGGCATTTCCTTTAAAACCTCCTCTTTAGATAGAAAACACCACACACTGTGTAGTGCTGAGCAGGTTTCAGTTTGGCTGGCAGTGGTGATAGAGACAGCTTGGAACCTCATTCATTCCATTTCTGTCCAGGTGCCTCTGGAGGTGGCCTTGGAAGCACAGTCTGAGAAGTAGCAGAACTTTGGATTTGTTTTAAGCCAAGAAAAAACAGGCTGTTTTGAGGGGGAACATGGGATAAGCCCATGATATAATACAATTGTACAGGCTTTTATAGTTGCAAAGTGAGTGTTTTAAATCTTTCCTACCCAAGGCCCCTGGATGTAGGCAGGGGCTAGGATTATCTCCATTTGATAATGGGTGTAGAAATGAAGCACAGAATAATTAAAGAACTAGCAAAACTTGAATTTGGACCAGACCTGTTGATTCTCTTTCCTGTCTTGGCCAACTACGTGACATCTGGCCTACTTTGAGTTTTATTGCTTTCACATTACTTACTGTAACTGGTGAGGTATGGTAGAAAATATTGTCAAGATCAAAGGAGGCTAAATTCAAAGAATTAGCCCCCATCTCAGGCTTCCTGGATCCTTGAAACTTATCTAATTTTTAAACCACAGGTGCTGTCTATTTCTTCCTAAGTGATCCCTTAAAGCAGAGAAGACCAGCAGCGTCTAACATGTCTAGAAATTCCCCCAAGATTGGGTTTATTGAGATTACTGCAAATCAGGTGTACAGGTCAGATTCTTAAACTGTTAATAAAATCTCTTGGGACACTGGTTGAATTTCCTGTTTATTCCTTTCTTGTGAAGACCAGTTTGCTGGATTCCCTCTTTCCTGGAAGAGCCTTGCCCATTGATAGTCATCAGATAGCTTCTCCAGGCATTCATTATTTTTATATAGCTTGCAATCTTTGACTTGATTTTAAATGTTTGACCTTAGAGATCTCTCATTTCCTTAAGGGAATATATGACATTTGATATAATCCATAATTGTTATTAGTTCAGGCATGAAAAAACCATGACTGGAAGAGGAGATGATAATAGCTTCTGTTTGCATTTTTT